GGGCGGCGGTGATTCGCCGTAGGCGTCTTTGATCCGCCGCCACCTGTTGCTTGCAAGAGGAGTGCCTGGCGTGCCAAATCCTGTCGTTTTTGGTTTTGGTTCTTTTCCAAAAAAGCCCCCCCTGGGGCCCCGGCGCGTCCCGCCGCCCACCCGGGAAGGACCTCGATCCGGAAAAAAAATCTCCAAGGCAGCTCAAGATGGCCTCCAAGATGGCCACGTTGGCCCAAGATGGCCTTCCAGATGGTGCAAGATGGCCTCCAAGTCGGCCTAAGGTGGTCCAAGACGGCCCAAGAGAGTCCAAGATACCTCCAAGTTCGCCCAAGAAGCCTCCAAGACGGCCCAAGACGACCCAAGAGGCCTCCAAGAGGTCCTCCAGGAGGGCCCGAAGAGGCCCAAATCATTGATTTTCCAAAAAGTTTTGGCAGATTCTGGCATTTGCTTCTTTTCGGCCTTCCGACGGCTCAAGACGGCCCAAGATGCCCCCAAGATCGCCCACGAGGACTCCAAGATGGCTCCATGACGGCCCAAGAGGCCCCCACCCAAGACGGCCCCAAGAAGGCCCCAAGACGGGCCAAGAGGCCTCCAAGACGCCCAAGATGGCCTCCAAGACGGCCCTGGAGCACCCCAAGAGGGCCCCAAGTCGGCCCAGAGAGGCCCCCAAGACGGCTCCCGACGGGGTCAGACGGTCCAGGAACCCACCAAAATGGCTGAAGTTGGCTCGAAGCTGGCCCAAGACGGCCCAAGAGGCCTCCAAGAGGGCCTCCAGAAGGCCAGAAAAGGCCACAAACATACATTTCCTAAAGGTTTTTGACAGATTTTGGCATTTGCTTCTTTTCGGTCTTCCGACGGCCCGAGACGGCCCAAGAGCTCCCAAAGATCGCCCAAGAGGCCTCCCAGATGGCCCCAGGACGGCCCAAGAGGCCACCAAGACGACCCCAAGAAACCCCCAAGACGGCCCAGGAGGCCTTTAAGACGCCCAAGATGGCCTCCAAGACGGCCCTGGAGCATTCCAAGAAGGCCCCAAGTCGGCCCAAAGAGGCCCCCCAAACGGTTTCCGACGGCGTCAGACGGGCCAGGAGCCCATCAAGCTAGCCGAAGTTGGCCCGAAGATTGCCCAAGACGGCCCAAGAGGCCTCCAAGAGGGCCACCAGGAAGGCCAGAAAAGGCCAACATCATTGATTTCCCATGAGCTTTTGAAGGATTATGGCATTTGCTTTTTTTCGGCCTTCCGACGGCCCGAGACGGCCCAAGTGCCCCCAAAGATTGCCCAAGAGGCCCAAGACGGCCCCAAGAGGCCCCCAAGACGGCCCAAGAGGCCTCCAAGATGCTCAAGATGGCCTCCAAGACGGCCCAAGAGCCCTCCAAGACGTCCTCCAAAAAGGCCCGAAAAGGTCAAAATGGCCCCCAGACGGTCAAGATGACCTTCAAGATGCCCACGTGTTCCCCGAAGGCTTTCCAAACCGATTCGGGGACCAAGCTCTAGCCCAACTCTCGGCTACATAGGCGCTTCCCCGAAAGGCAGGGGGCGGCGGTGATTCGCCGTAGGCGTCTTCGATCTGCCGCCCCCTGTTGCTTGCAAGAAGGCTGCCTGGCGTGCCAAATCCTGTCGTTTTTGGTTTTGGTTCTTTTCCCAAAGACTCCCCCTGGGGCTTCGGCCCGTCCCGCCTTCGGGTCCAAGACGACCGGAAGTCTGCACAACGCCGCCTCCAAGACGGCCAAGATGACCCAAGATGGCCTCCAAGTTCGCCCAAGACGGAGAAGATGGCCCCAAGAGAGCCCAAGATGGCCCCAAAACGTTTCCAAGACGGTCCAAGATGCCCCCAAGATGGCCAAAGATGGCCTCACGATGCCCCAATACGGCCCAAGAGGCCCCCCAGACGGCCGAAGAGACCTCCAAGAGGGACCTCCAGGAAGGCCCGAATAGGTACAAATGATTGATTTCCATTGGATTTTGAAGGATTTTGGCATTTGTATTTTTTGGGCTCTCCGTCGGCCGATGACGGCCCAAGAGGCCCCTAAGATCGCCCCAGGATCGCTCAAGAGGCCTCCAAGATGGCCCCATGACGGCCGAAGAGGCCCCCAAGACGCCCCGGGAGGGCCCCAAGACGGCACAAGAAGCCTCCCAGACGCCCAAGATGGTCTCCAAGACGGCCCTGAAGCGCCCCAAGAGGGCCCCAAGACGGCCCAGAGAGGGCCCCACGACGATTTCCGACGGCGTCAGACGGGCCAGGAACGCCCCAAAACGACCAAAGAGCCTCCCGTGAAGCCCCCGCGAAGCCTCGAAAGGCTCCCAGCAGGCCCAAGGAGGCCCCAAAGAGGCCTCAAGGAGGCCCCCAAGAAGCTCACAGCAGGCCTCAAGGGTGCCCCAAGAGAGCCCCAAGAAGCCTCATCCTCCTACTCTTCCTCTTCCTCTTCCTCTTCATGTTCATTCTCCCCCACGTGTTCCCCGAAAGCGTTCCAAACCGACTAGGGGAACTCATGGTTTGACAACTTGGCCAAGCTCTAGCGCAACTCTCGGCTACATAGGCGCTTCCCCGAAAGGCAGGGGGCGGCGGTGATTCGCCGTAGGCGTTTTCGATCCGCCGCCCGCAAGTGAGATTCATCACAAGGAAGCACGGCGTGCTAGATGACCGGGCCAATTTTGGCTATTTTTTAAGGAGCTGTCCCTGGGGCTTCGGTCCAACCGCTGGCCACCCCGAAAGGGTGGGAGGCACGGGTCTTCCACACGAAATTGCTCCAATATTCCCTCCAAGACGGCCGACACGACCCAATATGCCTCCAAGATGCCTCCAAGATGGCCAAGATTACCCAAGATGGCCTCGGTCCCGAGACGCCTCCAAGACGGCCAAGATGACACCAAGACGGCCCAATATGTCCTCCAGATATCCTCCAGACGGCCCAAGAGGCCCCTAAGACACCCCAAGTGGGACTTGCATGAGGCCAGCATCCTTGGCTTTCCTTTGGTTTTTCAATCATTCTAGCGTTCTCGCCTTATCGGGCTTATGATGTTCCAAGACGGGCGCATAACCCCCAAAGATCGCCCCAAGACGGCCTCGGAGGCCTCCAATAGGCCCGCAAGACGGCCCAAGAGGGCTCCAAGACAGCCCAAGAGTCTCCCGAGACTGGCCCAAAGACGTCCACTACGGCCCTAAAGCGCCCAAAGACGGACCCACGACTGCCCAGGAAGGACCCAAGACGGCCTCCGAAGGCCAGGAAGCCCCCAAGAGGCGCCCAAGATGCCCCTTCGAGCGCCCCCCAAACGCTCCCAGGAAGTCCCCAAGAGCCCCAAGAAAGCCTCAAAATGCCTCCTCTTCTTCCTCCTCCGCCTTCTCCTCTCTCTCCTCCTCCTTTCTCTTCCTATCCCCAATGTTCCCCCAAGGGGTTCCACAACAGCTGGGGGAACACATAGTCCAATAGCTTGGTCTGACTTCGGCCTAACGTTTTGCCACATGGGCGTCTCCAAAAAGACAGGGGGCGGCGGTGATTCGCCGTAAGCGTCTTCGATAAAAAAGGTTGGGGCGGAACGGGACTGGCCGCGGGGGACGCGGTTCCAATGCCGTGCCGACGTAACATTCTGGCTGCTAAGAATGGTCTGCTGGGAGGAGAACGGGGCTACCTGCGGGGCTGCCGGTACCGTGAAGAAATAAAAAGATCGGAACTCTAGGCACCCGGTGAAAAACAAAAAAACACGTGCACAATACGAGTAAACTGAATGCTTGACACTCAACGCTGGATGCTTGAAATTTCGACACCCAAACTAAGCTCGGCAACGGATATCCGGAAATTCGGCAAGATATTGCAACGGTGTCGGCAACGGAACCCGACGAAATCTGCAACACATACGCACTAACCACTTCGCAACATACCGAGCAGATCCGAACGGCCACCACTTAACGAGGACAAATCATCAAACATCAACCCTGCCTTCCTGCACGCAATCTTTCTTGCGCATCTCCTTACGACGGCCACACGGCAATATGTTATTCTCTCTGCTCCGTTCCTGCTCCTCTTCCATTTTATACAACCCAATTCATCATGCCATCAAAATGTTTACCCTGTGCCCCCCCCCTTATACTCTGCCCCTCCCAAGAGATACTGAATGCGGGAAGGCCCCTCCGCAACCGCAATACCGCGTCGAATTCGGTAACGCGATGCCCGCTCGGAAGCTCATTTAATCAAATCGCGGCTTGCTCTTTTTTGACAATGTTTTTGCAAGGAATCATACATGCGTGAAATGGTAATCGGTTTCCGTATGCATTTTCGCGCTGATACAAACCAGCAGGGAACTGTGACAGTCATGTATTCCCACAGCGACAGTCTACTGGATGAACAAACTGAATCGCGCCCAAACTCGACTCTATATATGTATACTCAACAAGAGCGTAATACTTCTACTCCTGGCGGCGCTCCAACGTCGAGCCTCCGCAGAGTTCAAAGGGAATCGGCTGCACGACGCATTGCGAGAAGCGGCTGTGAGCCATACTGACGTGTCATGCGTAACAACTTCCATTACGATCGCACGCTGGGTTGATTCGCCCTCGCTTTGCAGAAGCATCGGCGACGTGCTTGTTGAAGTGCGAACTCACTATGCGGGTGGTATAGCCAGCGTTCTGCTGTAACGAATGAATGTCGCAGCTTCCTTTGATTGAACATATGCTGCGGCATCATGACAGTTTTCAAATATCAAGTGACGCTAAAACATTTGCATTGCGTGATTGCGCCAATTGCAACTGCCTTACTTGGGCGATGCTCCATGCGCCCCAAACACTAGTGGGAGCTTACGTCGCAAGATGGCACTGCAGCATGAAGAGACCCATCATGTTACTGCGCGCATTCTTTGCTCAGTCAGCTGAAGCACGCGACTAGGGCAACACGAGTGAACGGACGCAACAATGGGGGGCCGCCCGCGCCCGGGCCCCTGGAGGGCAGTCGGGTTCGCTGGCCTTGAGCCTCGACATGCCAATGCCGCAAGTGTTGAACTCAGACCTCGACCAACACCATCAAGCCTCGGGTTGACAGCGAACCGCGCAAAGCGAGATAAGCCGACAAAGAGAATGCCCCTCTGTTGTCTGGTGTGTTTCCGGTAACGTTTCTATGGCCGACCACCCCCTCGCCCTCCTCCTCCTCCTCCTCCTCCTCCGAAAACCGCCCCTCTCAGTTTTGCTTTCTGGCGCAATCTTCGGTCTCCAAAGGGCTGCAAGAGAGACAGAAACCGTCCCGAGAAAGCTGCCAATGGCCAAGACAATCCGAAAACGGCCGAACAATCACACCCAACATATTACAAATCCGGGGGGGGGGGGCGGGTGAGGTCGAATCTGAAACACAGACCCTCCCCACGCAGATATGCTTGCGACTGTCGCCCCTTCGCTTGTCTTTACTTCCTTTTCGCTTGTACTCGCTCCGTGTGTGAGTGGACGCATGGATGTCCAAGAAGTCAGGGCGAAGCGGAAACCATTCCTAAGTAACAAACATGTTCTCTTTTGTTGGACCTGGAGGTGCGAGAGACAACAAATGGGCATAGCGAGTATGTTCTGGACCATTGAGTTCTCATGAGCAGAGAGGCGATTCCTTGAACCATGCCTCGTCGGTTCTTACGTTTGCATCTTGCAGGCAGCTGGTCTGATTGCTCGCTTTCCCCATGTATGCAATTCGTCCAGGGGCCTCCCGATATGAACCCGAACTCGTGGAGACTGCGACCATGGCGGTGCACATCCCTGTGAAGAGCAGGCCTGGGCTGAAAGAGCAATAGCGACGCCAGAGCATGGCGGCGGGGAACGGGCGATGGGACACACGCAACACATCTGTGGGTAATGCCGTAATGCGGAATCGCGGCCGCATTCGTGAACTATGCTTACTGACTACAGGCGATTGACAGCGACAACAAATGACCTGAGGAAGAGTGCGGATTACGAACAATCGTGTCGTATCCTTTTCAGCTGGAGTGCCCTCATGGTCTTGGATCATGACGCAAAATGAAGTCGCATGCAGTGTTCGCATGATTTGGGTGCGTCGCTGCGGCCATACTGTTTCTCGCTGTCTGCGTACATTCCAGCGCAAGGGGTGGTGCGACCCTGGCGAAGAAACCAACCCATTGTAAACCCGTGGCGGGTATTAGCAGGAACGCCCAACTCACATGAAAGTGCTGAGACATCAGCAGTACCCTTGAACGCTTCGCCAAGAGATGGGACACTATACTCAAAACCGCCCCATTCGCGCTCGCACCCTCACGGCTCCAGTCGGGCGCGGGATCGCAACGACGAGTGTGCCACGCAGCAGGAGGACGGGGGCCGAGAGAGCAAGGGGAATGATGATGATGGGATCTGGACCGGTCAGAAAAACCAGCGAGAACTCGCAACCCCGCCCCTCGGCTGCGGGTCCGGACGGGGCGAGCCTGAATTCAATTGTGACGGGGGCGGCGTGCCTGCAACGCGAGAGTAGAAATCCCGAGCCGTCTCCTGCCCCCGCCACTCCTCGAGCAATTCTGACATGCTCCAAAACGCGAAACGGATATTTCGAATAGTGTGCAGGTTCGAAGGAGGACTGCGTCAACTAAGGCTCAAGGCATTTGGTAGCACGAACTTGGCACGCTTCACAAAGGATATATGGAATAATGTGCAGGTCTGGCGGACAACTGCGTGGGCGTCCCAAGATGACACCAGAACGGTCCGATGCGCCCTGGGTGGCTGCACCGTTGAGGATCTGGAAGAAATCAAATTGAAAGTCCGATGGGCTACACGTTCCTTTCCCTCCCTCCGCTTCCTCCTCAAGCACCACTCCTCGCATAAACCTGACATACTGCGAACGGGATGTGGAAAAATGTGCAGGTCCGAAAGGCAACTGCGTCACTGAATGCTCAGGGCATCTGGAGGCACAAAGGGGCCTGCCAAAACATAGCCGAGACGGTTGGAGGGAGCCACTGAGGCTTTCGGTGGACTACCTCGTGGGGCCACGAATCGTGCGAGGGGAGTGCCGAAATGGACCCGAGACGGCATGCGGACGCATCTGCTGAAGCCTTCGGTGGAGCCCCCCATGGGGCCACGTTGCGTGTGAGGGGAGTGCCGAAATATAACCGAAACAACATACGGATGCAGTCGTTTGGGCCGCCGGTGGAACTCATTAGGCGGCAGCGAAGCGTGTGAAGGGTGCGCAGAAGTGGACCCGAGACGGCATGCGGACGCAGCCACTGGAGCCTTCGGTAGAGGTCCTTATGGGGCAGCGAAGCGTGTGAGAGGTGCGCCGAAATGGACCCGAGACGACACTCGGACGGAGCCACTGGAGCGTTCGGTGGAGCCCGATATGAGGCCACGAAGCCTGAGGGGTGTGCCGAAGTGGACCCGAGACGGCGTGCGGACGGAGCCGCTGGGGCCATTGGTGTAGCTGCCCATGGGGCAGCGCAACGTGTGAAAAAAAGTGCCGAGATGAGCCTGACACGGCAAGCTCATGGAGCAGCTGGAGCCTTCGGCGGAGCTCCCTTTGGGATAGCGAAGGGTGCGAAGCGTGTGCCGAAGTGGAACCGAGACGGCATGTGGACGGCGCCGCTGGGGCCTTCGGTGGAGCCCCCTGGGCCACAAAGCGTGTGAAAGGTGCGCCGAAATAGAACCAAGACGGCATGCGGATGCAGCCGCTGGGGCCGTCGGTGGAACTCATTAGGGGCAACGAAGCGTGTGAAGGGTGTGCGAGCCACAAAAGCCGTCGGTGGAGGTCCCTATGGAGCAGAAAGACCTGTGAGTGGACCCGAGACGGCATGCGGACGGAGCCACTGGGACCTTTGGTGGAGCTCTCTGTGACGCAACGAAACGTGTGAAGGGTGTGCCGAGGTGGACTGGATCCGGCATGCGGACGGAGCCATTGCGGCCTTCGGTGGGGCTCCCTGTGGAGCCACGAAGCGTGTGAAAGGCCTGCCGACGTATGTAGAATCGAGACGGCATGCGGACGCAGTCACTGGAGCCTTCGGTGGAGGTCCCTATGAGGCAGCGAAGCGTGTGAGGGGTGGGTCGAAGTTGACACGATACAGCATGTGGATGGAGCCGCACAAGCCGTCGTTGGAGCTCCCTAGGGGCAACGAAACGTGTGAGGGCGGTGGCGAAACGGTGATGAGACTGATGATGGTGATAACGAGCATGGAGGTGGTGATGCTGTCAATGATGATGATGCTGCTGCTGATGATGAGGGTGATGCTGATGACGTTGATGATGGTAATGCTGATGCTGCTGCTGATGACAATGATGATGATGATGATGATGATGATGATGATGATGATGATGATGCTGATGCTGATGCTGATGCTGATGATGATGATGATGATGATGATGATGATGGTAATGGTGATGCTGATGACAAAGATGAGGATACAGAGGATATGATGAGGATGAGAAGGAGGCGTGAGACGCTCGGCGCTGCGAATTCAAGACGAGGGCTCAACGCACAGGATGGTCGGGAAACGTGTTTTAGTACCAACCATACTATGTGTACAATCCAGCACAAAGTGTGAGACAACACCGATGAAACACCATACCATGAACTGCCGAGTTTCTTAGAAGTGGCCGGTCGGTCATTGCTCATGTCCAACGTCTTGATGCTCAACGGGTTAGCAAGACGCTGCAGCCCTCTCCCGACAGGTTATCATTTTTGAAAAATGGGCTGCGATGTATGTGACAGTGTACCAAGAGCTTCCACTCGGATGCGAAGGGGGTGGTGCTGGCCGATCAATGTGACGAAGCACACCATGTTGCCATTCACCTTGGACAGTCTCTGCCGACCGTTCCCTTATTTCCCCTCCCTTCAATTCCGAAAGTTGTGCTGAACAGATCTGAAAACTCTGATTCGTAATTCAGCCTGCGCGATCGCTCAACGATCAATGGGGTCAGGCTGATGGTCGAGAGTTGACTGAACGACGACACTGGGTTGAATAGTGTAGACGCTCGTCCCCAAACGGGAATCAATCCACCGATCCTGTCGGCGTGTGAAGAGGGGAGTTCTGCTTTTGTCGTCTTGGGAGCACGCTTTGGCGTTCTCTTTGGCGAGCCAAGCTCGTCAACTCGAGGTGAAACGAGAAAGGTCGTAATCAAACTCGTAGTTGATTCGAAGGGGAACCCCTTCCCTTTGATCCCTTCCCCACCCTGGGGATGGGGGGGGCCCGGGGCGGGGTCCCAGGGGGGGTCCCAGGTCAGATCACAGTTGGCCCTCCTTCGGCAGATTAGGTCCAATATGCTCCAAGAGGGCCCAAGAGGGCCCAGAGTCGCCGAACGATTGTTCCACGACGCCCAGGATGGCCTCCAGACGGCCCAAGGCGACTCTAACACGCTCCAAGAGGCCTCCAAAAGCAACCTGCAAAACCAACTCGCATGCGCAACCTGTATGCGCAACACGGGCTGATCTGGTCCCGCGGTGGGGGCCACGGACCGACTTTCAGAAACAGACCAACGACCCCTCAAGCTGCTCGTACCTCGCAAGGCACTTGTAAAACAACGACTTGCGATCATCAGCCAATATCCAGAAGCTGTTCGGGTCATGACTGACCGTTACACATGAACAACACATGCCTTTTTGTTTCAATGTATCCGACAATCTGCCCATTGGCGTGCGCAAACACGAATGCGCACGTGCGCATGCGTCCGCAATCCCAAGTGTGCCTGCTCAAATGGGGTCGACGCGAACAACTCCGTCACACTTCTGAGCCGTCGAACTCGCCGGGCTGCGCAGCCGCAACGGCACTTGACTTGGAGGTCGGTGCCCTCAGAAAACTCAAGATTGCCAACCATAAGACTGCAAGACGTGGTCACGGGACCCCCAGATTATTTTCGGCGACGCTTGCCTTCCGCCTTCTCACCTCTTCGCTTCGGATGGGCCAGGCCTTCGAGGCCCCAGTGTGGCCCGAGATCGCCCACACGAGCCCCAAGCATAGCCACGACATCATGTTTCAGGAGCCCAGGGGCCCCCCCTCCCAAGAGTACCTCCACCGGGCCACCAGAGGCGTTTCTCGGGTTGCGACAGGCCTCGGAAGTAGATAGCGAACACTCATGCCACATTCATTTATCAACGCCTCCCCCTCCCCACAATGTTCAAAATTGGCGGTTGGTCTGATGAGTTGCACCTCGACCGCAGTCTCCCCCGCGTGTGCCAACTTTGAGCTTGGGGGGCCAAGGGGGGCGTTCAATAATTGTTTCCCTCTGCCCGATAGGGACGCCTTCGCCGGGGACGCTCTTTATTTTGACCGATGCTCCCGGGAACGGCCCAAGAAGGCCCCAGCGTAACCTCCGAGTGCCAACCAAAACATCTTAAGAGGGCTCCCGATTTGCCCAGTAGCCCTGAAAAATGCGCTCCCTCTCGGCTTCCCGTGGAACTTTGGCGACGGTCCTCATGCTTGACTCCTGATCTCCTGGCTGCAGGGCGCACTCGAAGAAATCTAGGACCATACCACGAGCTATGTGGCAGTCGTTCCCGCAAGTGCAACTTCTCTCATCGTAGACCAGCGAGCTGCTTCAAATATTAGGTTTCACGCAGAAGATGAAACAGATGGTGGGACGCTGTGTGCGCTGGTACGAAGCCATGATGCGCTAACACACCGATCGGTCACACACACGATCGCAGTCTAAGTGGCTGGCAATACAACGGCCAAATACGCCGCAATGGTGGTCGAATCCAGTCTGGAGAAATTTGCACACAACGTTGAATCAAACGAAGTCGGGCACACAATCAAACAACAATGCACAGCACGTGTATCATCGATACATACGAGAGCGCTGCAGTGTCATGCAAATGCACTCATGTCCCCAACTACGTAGTCCCAACAGTCGCACCTCGCGTGCTGCAGACTTTTTGGGTGACGCGTCGATGAGTAAAGATGGCACACGCGGCTGGTTGTTGTTGCAAGGCGTGCAGGTTCGAGTGCGTGTGTCAGCGTTCCATCGGTGACTTCGTGTGACAACTCACAGCTGTCGTGTGGAAGGGTAGCAAGCTATCGTTCTATCGCCCATCTTGTTGTCGCAGAAGAGCTGGAGTTCACTGCCGCAACGGAAATGATTACAAGCACTTGGCATCCAAAGAAGATTCCACCTCGTGGAACCTCAAACCTCTCTCCTCAGTGACCAAAGGTCCGTCCCAGGGCCGAGATCGCAAATAGATGTGTTGCTGGAAAATTTTCACATACACGTCGTAACATGGTTAGTCATGTGGAAAACCAGGAAGGATGCAAGGGGCACCCGAACGACTTGCACGTCGATGCCACGGGTTTACGGGCTGGGGGCGGGCCATCGGGGTGGGGAGGAGAGGGGTGTGGGGCAGGGGGGTGCACAACGAGGCCACGTGTCTAAGCGAGGTACTGCAGCAATGGATTCTCCGTTGACAGGACGAGCGCTTGTGATTGCGCAGATTTGCGCAAATCGCTATTGCTGAAATATGCTCTGACCGGAAAATCGTCGTGCGCATTGCGCCGTGGGACCTTTAGACAATCCGCCAACTTGAATGTGAACTTCCGCCTCCCTGAGAGAACTCTGGGGCACTCCGGACACCCTCTCGGAACGCGTCTAGCACAATCTGGACGTCCATCTCTGAAGCCTCGCTCTATCCGCTCTCCCCCTCCTCTTCCGTCTTTGCCTCCGCCCTGCTCCCTCCGCCTCCCTCCACCTCCCTGCCTGCATCCCCAACTGCTCCTCTTCCCCAGGCTGCCAGCCAACCGGGAGTCTGGCGAGAGAGCGTCAGATCGGGGGGCAGCTGCCACGCAGCGCTGGCAGGTGTTGCAGTGGTGAGGCTTGTGCTCCTGCTTGGGGCAGGCAGCATATGGGGCACGCACGGCTGCGAGCTCAGCAAAAACCTTCTCCTGCTGCTGCGGCTACTCCTGCTCCTGCTGCTGCTCCTCCTCCCCCCCCTACTCATGTGCCTCCTCCTCCTCCTCCTCCTCTTCGGCTCTTTATCTCCTCGCCCTCCACCCCAAGAAGGTTTGACATAGAGCTCCAAGCAACCCAGAATTGCCCCAAGACGACCAATCCGCCAAACCAGCCTGGCCTGCTCCCCTTGGCGGCCCAAGACGGACTCAAGCTGTGCTGGCTGCCGCAAGGTCAGGCGTGGCTACTTGGCGCGAGGGACTGTAGGAAATATCCCTCCCCACTACGGCCGCAGAGAAGCCGCGCAAAGCGTAGGCGTCGGTGACAGCCCTTCGGGCGTGCTGTTTGTAACAAAATTGCGCGAGCGAGCCGAAACGACTCACAAACGGTTGGGCACAACATTCCACGCTGCCAATGTGTGATGACCGTGGTCAACGCCGGCATGCCAAGGGGCAATGCTCAAGCCACTGTCAGCAGCACAGGGGCCTGAGCGGCGCTTGATGCCAGGCCACTGGGCAAGTCGGCGGTCGACGCCTGGGCGCTGCTCGACGTACCGATCGCGCAAGTCCGAGCCGCCTTGGCGGTGATCGCCTGCATGGCTAATGGCACGTTGGGGTGGCCAACAGGACAACCCAAGGCATCGGTGACTGCTGCAAAACTGTGGCGGTGTACGGGGGCGGTCACTCATTCGGGCTGGGCCACACCTATCCACTGGCACACTGGTCGCCTGAGCCTCCAACGACACGGCGGTTCGGGAACAGAGTGCGCTCTTCGAAGACCACACTGAGTCCCAAGAAGAGCAGGAATGATACAATATACCAGTCGAGGATGGTAAGGAAAGGGAGGGATATAAAGAAGAGGAATCTGAAGATAAGGGGGAAGAGGTGTATGCGAAATGAACGAAAAGAGGGGAGGGGACGGGAAGAAGGAACACGTGGACGAGCAGATGGATCACCTGTCTGGATGTGCACCTCGTGAAGCGACATGAACCAGGTGGAGGGGAGGCAAGGAAGCTTGGGTGAGAGAGTTGTCGGCCTTACCAATCTGGGCAATTGAACATCTCAACTATAGGTTTGCCCCGGCGGACGCGGTGCAGACGACGACTCTCTCCGCTAAGCGCGAGCCGCGTGCAAATCTATTATTTGGTCTTATACTTCGGCTCGAGTCCACGGGCTCTCTTTGCATGTCCTTGAATCGTGCTGACATCATTTCAATGTGGCTGAAGGCCCCTATCAATGTGAAGCTGTGCTTCAAACAACTTGAACGTTACTGATAGCTTCCAGGTTGTCAGAATTTGGCTAAACATCCAACCAGCTCTCTGGGCGACAGGTGGTCTAACGATGTCTTTCTTTCCTCTTCCACAACCCTTTCTTTCCCTTTCGGAAGGGGTTCACCCCTCCCCCAACCCCCTCCTCTGGACCTGGACGAGGGGCTTCGCGAGCGGTCAGGGCGTCCAAGATGGCCAAAGATGGCTCCAAGGGGGCCTCAGACAGCCCAAGATAGCCTCCAAGATCGGTCAAGATAGCCCAACATGGCTCAAGATAACTAACAACATGCCTCCCAGAGGCCCCAAGAGGGCCACAAGACGGTTCCAGGTGCTTCTGGGACCCCTCAGGACCTTCCCGAAAAGCCAACATTCTGCAAACACCTGAGGCAAGTCACTGATTTTTGCCTTCTCGCCTTTTCGCTTCCGATGCGCTTGTGAAGCCTCAAGATGGCCTTCAGATGGCCCAAGAGAGCTCCAAGAAGGGCCCAAGAGGCCCCCAAGACTGCCCCAGGAGCGCTCAAGATCGCCCCAAGAGGGCCCCAAGAACGCCCCAAGAGGCTATTTCGATGGACCTGGAGCGGCGACGCAACTCGAGGACCACCCCTCCTTTGAGCGATGGTCTCCAAGATGGCCCCAGGAGGCGCTCCATAGCTCCCAAGAGGACCCCAAGAGAGCGCCAAGAGAGCCCCAAGAGGGCCCCAAGGCGCCCCAGAAGAGCCCCAAGAGGACCCCAAGACTCCCCAAAGAGCCCCAAGAGGGTCCCAAGATGCCCCAAAAGAGCTCCAAGAGGACCCCAAGATCCCCCAATACAGCCCCGTAGCTCCAAGAAGGCCTCCGATGCTCCAAGATAGCCTCCAAGACGGCTCAACACCCTCCTTCCCCTCCTCTCCTCGCACGCTCTGTTTCACTATGTGCCTCTCTCCATTTCACGGCAGCTCTTAGGGACAAGGCTTCTGAATGGGCTGGTGGGGATTCGCGAAGCGTAAACAATGTTGCAACTTCTGCTTGACCTGGTTGTGCTTCGCAACCAGACTTGACGACCAGATCCTGGTAGAGTTGCGGCACTTGCGCCATAGCTGCTCGGCATTAGCCCTACTGTTTTGCAATCGACGTGGAGCAATGAAGCCGTGAACCCCACTTGGCCTCCTCCGCGTTTCATTTTTCCAGCATGGCGGTCTGATAAGTGTGATTGATCCAGCGGCTGGATCATGCCGACTTGAACATTTGGAATGTGGACTGGGGGGGGGGGAGAAGAGGACGGGGTGGGCTAGGAGAAATGAAGTTGCAAGGGTCGGGGGGTGAGGGAAGGGGGCGGGGGGGGGGCACTGCGATGCAGACAACAATGTGCGGGTAGCGATTCAATCTGTCTCACAGACGCTGCCCCAGTCCTCCTCCTCGTCGGGCAGTGTTGGAACCCTGGCTAGTCTGAAGCCCTCCTCGAGGGTGAGCTCCAAGCTGAATCGAATCAAGAAGCGGACCACGTGGGCCGACTACAGATTGTGAGGGTGTCCCTCCGGCGCCACGGAGCCTCCAGGCTCGGCCGCGCAGCCACGAGCAAGGAACGCACGGAGGCGAGGAATCGAGCACGGGCATGACGCGTCGCCGCGGCCGTGCCTGTGCTCCGATTGCCCCAGGGCGTGTTTTTGTTTCTCAGGCGGTTGCCCGTGGTTCTTGAGCCAGGATGGTTCCGAAAGCCCTTGCTTCCCTGCGTCTTACGTGAAAGTGTTGGCATAGGCATACATGCTATTGGATCTGGTTAGTCGACCTTCCCAGACGCGTCGCCGCGGCCAAAAATAACGAACTCATGAGACGACTGTCCCAGCCGCGAGGCCGATCGATGGTATATGCCAGCCCGATTTGACGGCGATGAGTTGGGTACATCGCGGCGCGCCAGATTACCCTGGCGCGTCAGGGTTGCGATCTCGCTATGAAAGGGTCGACGCCGCAAGCCGAGGGCTCCGGGACATGTATTGCCTGGGAGCTCGGTGCAAGCTATCGTTTCCGCAACAGAGGCCTAAACGTATTGTTACTGGCTGCCCACATGCGAAACTTGGTGCAACTTACATTCTCCACCACCACACTTACGAATTCCCCGGCCCAGCGGGCCAGAGGCGTGCAACAATCTCTGGTAACTGGATATGCATATTGTAGCTCGCGTGCGCGCTGCGGCACCTAGGGGTCCCCAAACGAAAAATACCCCGGCCGACGCCCAACAAGGTCGCAGCAAGTTCGGCTCAAGGGTGCCGGAACTCCCAGGGGCGGTTTTCGGGGCCCTCCAGATCGCCCCAGGAGTGGCCCAAAGAATCTCAGGGCAGCTCTAAAAGGGCCAACGAATCGGAATCACGGCCCAAGAGCGATCCAAGACGCGCAAGATGGCCCAAGACTGCCCAAGAGGCCCCAAAGCAACCCCAAGAGCGCTCCAAGAAGACTCCAAAGAGGGCCAAAAGAACCAACAATCATTGATATCCCTTGTGCGTTTTCCATGCTTTTCGCGTTCTCGCGTTCAAGATGGCCCCAAAGGCCCCTAAAACCGCCTCAAGACGGCCCGCGAGGCCACCAAGAGTGCCCCAAGACGTTCCAAGAGGGCCCCAAGACGGCCCCAGAGCTGCCCAAGATCGCCCAAGAGGGCCTCAAGACGGCCCCAGAAGGGGCCCAAGAGGGGAAACGTGAACCACCAATGCGAGCCTTCCGCCCAAAGAGGCCCCCAGGAGGCCCCAAGAGGCCCCCAAGAGGCCCCCAATGGCCCCAAGAAGCCACGGACGCGCAAACAAACGCCTGCGATGGCACAATACGGGTTTGCGGAATGAGCGAGACGAGCCGCCGCTCCACCGGGTACTGCGTGTGAGAGCCACAACATTGTCTTCCAGGTACGCTTTCTGTAAGTCCTCTCACCAGCGCGCTTTTCATACCTACCCCTACATCTGAGCCCTCACAACCCCTCTTATAACTGAGTCCTCCCTGGATCCCGCTCATTCCGCTGGCCCGAGAGCCCCGGCTGCGCCCCAGGGCGCTTTCTGGCCACCACTTCCGTCCCAAAACGATCCCCCTTTCACGTGCTGGGTTTCCAGGCGCCGCCATGTCCTTTCCGAGACCTTTCGTGGAACCTTCTGGGCCAATATGGGGGATTTCCCAGGGGCTCTTTTCGGCTGATGTGGACCATGCTTCGGGCCACCTTCAGCCGTCCTGGACGCCTCTCCACCTCTCATACACCCTCACATCCCAACAAGCAAAAGCACATCGTAACGCACGCATGGGGCTTTAACGACTCTGGCCATCTCGGGCTTCTCCTTCCGCCTCTCTTGGAGCTCCCGTGCACCTCCGCGGGCTCCTGCGGGCATCTTCGAACCTGCGGATGCTCTCTGAGGCCGTCCTGACAACCTCGCGGCGCCCTCCTCGGCCGTTTGGGCCTTGTCTTGGCGCCTTCTTCGCCTGCCTCGGGCACCTCGGGAGAGCCCCCAGGGGCCCGTTCAGGAACCAAAAACAAACCTGTACAGTTTTTCCCCTCTCCTCGTTTCCATCGCTCGCCCCAATCCTGTGAAAGCTCTTGTGCATCATGAACCCACGAGCCCCCTCCGGAGCTCCCAAGACGGCCCTCAAAGACCCCCAAACTGGCCCCAAGAAGAGCCCCAGACGCTCCAGCAGAGCCCCAACAGACCCAAATTCCATTTCCAAAGAGCCGCGGGAGGGTTCCAAATCACAGACGCCCCAACAGAACCCCAATAAAACCCCAATTTCCTGCCAAAAGCATCAAGACTGCCTCCAAGAGGCCACCGTGCGGCCTCCCACGATACCCCAACGAGCATCGCCATGATCATGACCATGATCATGATCATCAACCTCATCATCACTACCATCGTCGTCGTCGTTATCATCATCACCATCATCACCATCACCATCATCATCATCATCATCATCATCATCATCATCATCATCAGCATCAGCATCAGCATCAGCATCAGCATCAGCATCAGCATCATCATCATCATCATCATCATCATCATCATCATCATCATCATCATCATCATCATCATCATCATCATCATCGCCATCATCATCACCGTCCCCGTCATCACATTCATCATCACCATCACCATTACCATCGCCATCATCGTCTTTTGTCATCATCATCATCGTCTTCAGCATCATCATAACCATCAGCATCAACATCGTCACCAGCATCATCATAATCATAATCAGCATCAGCATCAGCATCAGCATCAGCATCAGCATCATCACCATCACCCTCACCCTCACCCTCACCCTCACCATTATCATCGTCATCATCATCATCATCATCATCATCATCATCATCGTCGTCATCGTCATCGTCATCATCAGCATCAGCATCAGCATCAGCATCAGCATCAGCATCAGCATCAGCATCAGCATCATCATCAGCATCAGCATCAGCATCAGCATCAGCATCAGCATCAGCATCAGCATCAGCATCATCATCATCATCATCATCATCATCATCATCATCATCATCATCATCATCATCATCATCATCATCATCATCATGGCCATCGTCATCAACACCATCTTTATCATCATCCTCATCATCGTTACTGCGTTGTTCATCCCTCGCGAGTGCGCCCTCCAATGTCCTCTCGAACGAAGGCTGCCGGGCATGCTGGACTGCCGTGGTGGCGAGACTTGCCGCAGGCAGCCGGATAGGCGCCACAGAGGGCCCTAGATTTCGGCTTTCAGCGGGTTTGTGTCGAGGAGAAGCGCAGAAGGCAGAGGGCGCTGGCCGCGCGGGGGGAGGCGAGCGAACCGCGACGGCGGCGGGACACGGGACAGGCACCCAAAGGCCAGCAGGGCAGGCGCGCGCTCACCCTACGCAGAACAACGGCAAGTCTGCACAAAAGCAGCGACCGCGAGACGGCAGCAGCGGGCGCGAGGACACGACAGAGAGGAAGGACGAAGATCACGAGCGGGGGGTAGGTCAAGTTCGGCTCGTTTTGGCCCCTCCTGGGCTGTAGTTTTCTTTTGTTTTTCCAACGCAGCGCATCGAAACCGAGGATGTTGAATGACTTCTCTGGGCCTCCTGGGCTGGAGATCTGACGCCGCAAAGGCCCCGAAGACGCCCCGGGCGATCCCCACGAATGCCAGCGACACGCCGAGGGGAGGGCCACAACATATTCCGCCCGGCACCCACGAAAGACCTCCCAAGAGACACACATGAAGTTCACAAAGAAGCCTCTCCTTCAACGTGCCATCGCAGAAGCATTGGGACCCCAGGGATACCTGACCCCTTCACAACAATGTGCCTGTACACGTGGGACAAGATTGGCGGATGTACTCAGCCGTCACGACAACAGAAACCCAGGGGGAACCCGACTCCAACCGTGGATGCAAGCGAACCGCAATGAAGTCAAGCAATGAAGCATGCCGCGAAATCCACGATCCCAGCAAGGTGGGGCGGTGGTGTCCGCACCCTCAGGGGCGTTCAACGAAGCGAATTACTCCGGCTGGATCGCGCGAAGCGCAGCGAGTTCATAGTTGTGATAGAAGGGCGAAGCGCGGAAATCAGTGCGCCACGGGATTCTTCGAGCCTCGCGGTGCGCGCACCTCTCCCGCCAGCACTCGCACAGGCCGCAACCAACCTTCGAGCGGAAGCGGAGGGACTCAACTTCCCGCACGGGCGGGTCGCACGGGCAGCTCTTGCCCGCCACGGAAGCACGGACAGACAGACGTGGGCACAGCACTTGGAATCAACGCTGTGCACAGCTGTGGACGCCTGGCGTGTGAGATTGTGCGAATTGACTGTTTAAAAACGTGGCGATGGCGGACAGCTGGGGAATGTATTTCCACACCAGTGTTCCGCCGCGCGGGATGTCCAAACGCTCTTATGGTGCAAATGAGTAGGTGTGGGGACACAGGGGCCGCTCCGGCGGATCTCCTTGGGTGGGCGCCAAACCAGGCAACGTACGCAGTAGGTCCCGTCTTTGCTGGAGCCCTGGCGCTCTCTGCTCCGGGGGGGACAGGGAGGGCTGCAAGGGGTAGAGGGGAAAGAGGAGAATGAAGAGGAGCGGCCGTTCATCACTAAGCTGCCGTCTGATACAAAGAGAGAGGGCAACAGAGAAAGAGAGAGAGAGAGAGAGAGAGGGAGAAACAAAAGAAAGATAACGAGAGAGAGAGAGAGAGAGAGAACGAGAGATGAGGAAGAAGAAACAGGCTGAGGGACCCCGGACAGACAGAGGCTATATATGTGTATATATACATATATATGTATATATGTATATAGATATACATACAAGACTGCAGTGGCGCTTCGCGCCATGCGCCTTGTTCCGGACGCTTCCCTGGCAAAGCAATAAGTCATCGCTTTCTTCAGCAGGGAGGACCTCGAGGCCTGGACGGGCGACCCGCCCATTTTTCCGATATCCCGGGTGCCTGCTGACACCGCTTTCGGACGATGCGCTGGCACGCTTGTGCGCAGGAGTGGGGAAATCATGCTGATTTTTTTCGCGCGAAGGTCCTTTGAGGAAGTAAGGAGCGTTCCCATGACACGCCGAAGAAGTCACAGTAGCTCCGAACACATCGATTTTTGATCGCTTCCCGAATGCGAATGCCTGGAGGGCTCCAGGCACTCAGGAAATCTTCGATCGTCGAATTTCGAATCTAGATCCATTGCCTCTTGCGGGCCTCCAGTGGCGTTCTTGGAGGTATCCCATGGCTTTCGTGGGTCTCTCTTGGGAGCCTTCTGGGGGCATCTTGGGCTCCTTGTGGGCAGTCTCGGGGCTCTCTGGGGCAGTCTTGGGGCCCCCTTGGGCCGCCTTCAACCCCTCTAGGGGGCCTTCTGGGCCGTCTTGGGGCGAGATTGGGGGCCCATTGGGCCGTCTTGGACGCTGCGAAGACCCAAAAAGCGGATATGCACAACAAATGTATTTCCTTAGGGAATGTGACGATTTTGGCTTCTTCGGGGCTCTCTTAACGGCCTCTTGGGGTGTCTTGGGGGCCTCTTGGGCCGTCTTCAGACCATCGAGGTTCCTCTTGGAGCGCTCTTGCGCTGTCTTGGGTCTCTCTTGCGCCTCTCCGACGACCCCTCTAATCGCCTTCAGTCGGCTCGCAAGGCCCAGCGAGGCGCCCTGGGAGGCCCGGAAGGGCCACCGAACCTTTTCCAAGGGCGTCCAGGGGGCCGCCGAAACGTCCGAAAGGGCGTCCGGAGCGTCCCTGGGGGAAGGATCCGGTTTAGGGGGGGGGGGTCCGGGGGGGGGGGTCCGGGTGATAAAAATATAAGAATAGGAATATATATATATATATATATATGGAGAAAGAAAGAGAGAGAGCGAGAGCACACGAGCAGAAGGAAGTGTTCTGTCTGAGTATCCGACAGCCAGGCGGCTGCAAGGCCGAGAACGCCTGCATGTGCCTGGTGCGAAGGGCACGCAGGCTGGACATGGCAATCCTGTGTGCGGCTGGCGCACCTCCGAGCGGGAGGCTGAGGGCAGAGAAGTAGAAGTGGAGAGGAACGGGGAGGAAAGGGATTGGAGAGGAATGGAGAGAAGTAGAGTGGAGAGGAATGGGGAGGCATGGGGAGGAACGGGGACGAATTAAGAGGAAGGTTGAGGAATGGGAAATTAGAGAGGAATGGAGAGAAGTAGAGAGGAGAAGAATGGGGCGGCAAGGGATTGGGAGGAGACACGGGTGTAGTCGATCGAGAATACCACTGCAAGCAGCAGGACCAGGAGAGAACACGTGAACCCCGCGCGACCCACAAGAAGTGTATATTTGCTTGCGTTAGAAGTATACAGCTACATTGCAATCTCATGATATGTAAGTTGACGCAAAGGGTACGAAGACCTATCGCACACTGACATGCCACTGGACAGCATTGCATTTCAGATCATGGGTCGCTCATCGTTGCATAGTATGGCACGCCATTATTAGTAATTTACTGTTTAAGGTAGTATAACATAGCCGACATGGCATAACACGTCATCGCATATCCTGCCCTGACAGATCACATCATGCTGTTTCTTGCAGCACGACACGTGGCGCATTGTTGTATAGTGTGGCGACTACTCGCATCACACATCATAGTAACTCGTAGTATATCATAGCAGGTTACGGTGCGTCGTAGCACTGGGCTGCATAGGACATCGCTGCTACACAACGGTGCACTACATGATAGCGTGGCATTGCATAGCAGTGCACAACATTGAACACATCACCATGGCACTGCGCAGCAACGCAGCATACGCGATCCATCGCAAGATCACACACAACACAACACAGCACAAACAAACCCAGCCAAGACACACCAACACATACACAACATGCGCCAACAAATAAAGTCCTGGAAAACTCTGGGGAATCAACGAACACCCTAGGGGAACCTCTGGGGACCCCGCGGTAACATCATTGCTCGAAGCTTCGCCGGGGAAAAGAAGACGAACACTATCTAAGGGTGTTGTATGGTGGCTCTGCATCAGATGGCGTATGGGGGCGCGAACAGACTTGGAAACTTTGGGCTTCCGCCCACCTGTCTATATCGATTTTTTCTGATCCAGATGACTGCGGCGGCGACGAAGACATCGATAGCGACTACGGCGCGACGAAGAGAGGACAACGTCAACGGTATTGGCGGGGGGAGCACCGACGACGATGGCCGCAACCACGGCGGCGAATGCAACTGCGACGGCAACAACGTCGATGACGTGGGTCTTTCCATTCCTTTTAGCTCGCGAAATAAAACTGTCAACAATGGTTTCTCCTTTGGCTGTAAGGCTCTTCGCTGTGCTTCAGCGGAACTGTTTCGGCGTCGCCGCTATCGTCGCCGTCGCCGCCACTTGGGTACCTGTGCATATCCTGTTTTTCACGTCTCCCGCAAGCCCTGCTCGCCGTCGTCGCCGTCGCGTGGGACCCTGGACATTCCCTCACTCTGCGCTCCCCGCCGGCCGAGTCTGTCTCACGTCGCTGCCGTCGCGGCCGTCGCAGCTACGTGGGGACCTGAACATTCCCCTCATGCTTCAAATCCTTACGTTGACCCCGTAGTTTATCCATTCAAAAGAACCGTAAGGTCCACCCCCACCCACAGTCAGGACTTCTCCGGCCCCCTGCGGGCAATGCGTTTTGCAGAGAACTCGCAATATCGCCACCCCCACTTTCGTTCCTGTCATCTAGAGGTTTTCTGAAACGGACATTCAGCAAGAAACCCTTGCAAACCAACGAAAACTACCACAAAATCCATGCGCCGGCAGAAACTGCTGCAAGCGTCTCAACATAAACATACTATGCCCTCATTCGTTGGATCTTTAAAAACATGCAGATTTCTGCACGCGCGCGCTAGCTGGAACCATGGGAAATCATAGGATTGTCGGAAATCTCATCTAAAACCCGCATTCTCATCTCACCCTGGTGCTCCTCCGCGCTGAAACCTGCGTCGAGTGCGCGACTCCGTATCAAATCGTACCATGTGGGCCAGATGCGCGCGTTTCCACGCGCGCGGGTTCGAAATCCTTGCAAGACCATGGGTTTCCGAAACAGCTCCAAATAGCTCTGCAGACCATGTGCAGCTGTGAGCACCGCGGGCCGAACGGGACGATCGAGGGGGGAACTCCGCACGGGGCCGCGAACCGCGCGAGACGGGTGAACCGCGCGAGGGGTGTGCCAACATGGGGCGGGCACCGCCTGCGGGCTGCGGGGAGACGCACGCGACGACGGCCGCCAGGACCTCCGGTGGAGCTCCTTCATGCAGCCGCGAAGCGTGCGAGGGGCGTGCAGTTTTTTGCACTCGAGCTGTTGCGAAAGGTCCACGGGGCCCGAAGGCGGGCCCCACGCACTTTTTTCGTCAGCGGCGAGGCGGCGAACTCCGCTCCAGCGAGAAGCTAGAAAGGGGCACTAACTGGCGAATTGGCCGGCGGCCGGCGGGCAAAGAGGGGGGAGGAAGGCCGAGAAGGAGAAGGGACGCTCAGAGGAGGGCGGCCCCCACACATCCAGAACAGCGAGAGTCCGAAGACTTATCCAAAGCAGATTTGAAAACGACGAACTCAAAAAGGAAACGAGCACAGTGTGATCTCTAGATAGAAAGCGGGAATCTTTGTGGTCTAGTCTAGTCTAGTCGAGTCCAGTTTACTCTACTACACTGCCGCTAGCGACATTTAGAAGCACACGTCAGCATATTTCCGACTGGGGTGTACGCACCTGTTGTCGGCGATAACAATGGAAACGCGCACGGCACATCTATTCCCTGGGCAAGCGTTCAAACTCTTCCTGTTCACCGTGCATTGAACTATGCGAGCCTCGCTTGATTGACTGCTGCTGGCCTCCACTTTTTCGTGAGCTGAGCGCCCGATGGAGGTGCAATTGGCCATCACCCTTCCTTCAATGTCAAAGGAAAACTGGCTCCACAGAGAGTTCAGGGTAATGCCTCAATTCTGATCGGGGGACACCTTACACAATTCTTGCGTCGCAGCTATCCGTTGGAATCTCTATCGGACAGGTGCGCTAACAACCCGAGAGCTACCATGACAAGAAAACTGCGCCAAAGGCTCCAGTGAAAGTGCCCGACGAGGCTAGTACTCGCACTAGCTGGCGCTTGCCCACGCTGCGAACCGTGGGCGGACTGCGGCGCGCGCTCGACTGACAAGCTGTCCCACTGCAGCTGGGGTTCACGCGCCCAAGCGCCAGCAACTCCAATGCTTCGAAGGATAAAACCGATCATAAGCAAAAACTCTCGCGTGCGGAGAGGTGTCGCCGGGGTGTCGCGGCGGCGCCGATCCGAGAAGTCTGCGTGGACGTCCGAAAGTTTGTGCCCACGTTGAGTTTTCTCCTTCGACTGCTGTGAGGGAGAACGATAAGGGGGGGGGACTGGCTCAGGGACGGGGACAAATCTGAAGGTAGGAAAGGGGTGTGGCATCAAGGGGTGTGGTGCCAGTGCAGAATCTGGCCGACAGATCGCGGCAAGACGTCGCCGACAGATCGGCGGTAGGCCCCCGCTTGCGAAGCCACGGGGCCCTGGGCGGGTGGGCTATATATCGGGCCCCAGCCGGCGACGGCATGGGCGATCGGGGGGTCGATGCGCCCCCTCCTGAGCCTCCGGTAGCAGCTCGTGGGAGCCCCTCATGCCATCTTGCCAGCTCTTGCGCATCGACGCTGCCCGACGCTGTAAGCGACGCTTGCTCGGCGCCTGATCGACGCTTCTTCATGGTTCATCGCACGCCAGCGCACGCTATAACGCACTGGACTCGAGAGGCGGAACCACGAGGACCCACGAGGACCCACGAGGAGCAGGAGGACCCACGAGGAACCACGAGGCACACGAGGCACCGCACGAGAAAGGAATCCACGACCTGCCGCCGAAGCAGCCTCTCCCCCCACCCCCTGGCGTTGCCCCTGCTGCTGGCCGCCCGCCCGCCGCGCGAGGCCGCCCCCGCTCCTGCGGGGCCGCGGCCCCGCGCCAGCCGCCGCGGACACGCGCCGCTGCAGCCCCCCAGGCAGGAGGCCGCGCGGCCCGCCCGCGCAGCTGGCCGGCCGCGCGGCTGCGGAGCCGCGCCGGCGCGCGCCTCGGCCGGCGCGGCGCTCCCGTCGGGCCCGCCGGGCGGGCCCGCGGGCGGCGTGCCCCTGGCAGGCCCAGCTCCTCCTCCTCCTCCTCCTCCTCCTCCTGCTCCTCCTCCTCCTCCTCCTCCTCCTCCTTCGCCTCCTGCTGACCGCGGCGCGGTCAGCATCGGATCGGCACATCTCGGAGGGGGTCGGAGGGTGCAGCGGCCCAGGCTGCACACCGGCACGGAGTCGAGAGATCGGATGGGAGCGGCTGCGCCAGGATGCACAACCGCGCAGTGCAGGTGCCGAGCCGCATCGGGTCGTCAGAGTATCGGGATCGAATCGGATCGAGGCTTCGGGGATAGATGTCGTATCGGATCGATCGGATCGAAATGGACCCTGAGGTCGGAGCAAGGGCAGCTTAGTTCGCGCTTCGCGCTTCACGGAGCGCGAGTAGCTTCGCGCGCTCGCGCCGCTGCCCTGGGGGAGAAGAGGAGGACGAGGCGGACGAGGATGAAGGAACGCGAAGGCCGAGCCCCGAACCTAAGATAACTTCGCGTCCTCGTGGCTTGCTGATAAGACGAAGTCAGGACCGGGACAAACTCAGCCTCGGGAACGCCCTGAGAGCGTTCCAGAACGCTTTGGAACGACTTTTCCCTGTCCGAACCTCGCCCGACTCGAGCTGTGTCGATTCGAATCGGTCGGGTCGGAAACGGGCCGGGTCGCGCCTGGACTGGCATGGAGAATCGGGACAGGTGCGTTCCACTACTCGCAAAATCACTACTTGCAAATGGCCTGGATGCGCCATGCGGGGATTCACGGTACCTTACCTCGAGGCAGCCATGTGTTCTTCGGACGCTTGCGAGTAGGCACTTTTCGAGTAGTGGAACGCGCTCGGCGAATTGGGGTCAGATCGTCTGGGATCGCGTGTCGGGCTTGGGCCCTGCAGGCTGGCGAGGGAATCGGCTCGCGTGCGGGCCGGCTCGGCATCGAAGCCCGGGGACTGGATGGGGTCGGACCGTGAGCAGCTCTGCCTGGCGGCTCCAGACGCGTAGGCGTCCAGCGCGCTCCTCAGGAAGGCGTCGTGCTCGAGGCACCACCCCTCCCCGCCGAACTCCGCGGGGAGCTGCTGGCGGTCGTACCACTGGTCCAGCCTCGCCACGGGAGGGTGCGCCCAGCCACCCAGCATCCTGAGCTTGTTGCGCGTCCGCGGGTGGAACCAGACGCGGAAAATCTTGAAGAAGGTGGAGAACAGCACGTTCGGTCTCAGGAACACGATGTGCGACAGGAACTCCGGGTAGTACTCCGTGCCGATCCTGATCGCCGCGCGGAGGACCGCGAGCCCACTGTTCAGGGCCCCGAACTCCTGTAAGCCATACGCAAGAGTAACCCTACTATGTCCAATGGAAGACAATATGATCCAACAAATCCCCAGACTCCCCCCGGACAACCTGGACAACCCCTCGGGGACGTGGCCGGAGCTGAGGCGAGAGCACCACGCCTACTGATGGGGGATGTGGTCAGAGCGAAGGCGACCCCGGAGTTACGAGGGCGTCTCTGGCGATACTGGCCTGACCACCCCCGATGTTGGCAAGTGTCTCTGAGCGCTGGCCCCATAGCCAGAACTAGCTTCTACCGCAACAGGACCCTAATCAGCGAGGTGCTTGGGGAAGAGCGGTAAAGGAGGGCGTGCGAGTGGGAGCGGAAGGGGGACGCGAGAGACGAGGAACGGACAGGAGGGGAAGGGGGAAAGAGAAGCGACACTTCCAGCTGGGCTTCCCTGGTTATGCCATGCTCTTGATGGTATGCATTATAATGACATGTGCACTTGCTGGCAAGATAACGAGGCCCGGACAACCCCTTGGACAACCCCGCACGGATCTGGACCCCCCCCCGCGGACAACCCCCCTTGGACAAGCCTCCCCAGGATCTTTTCATTAGAAGTAGTAAGCAAGAGTGACCTCTGGTGCGCGACATTCGGGGCCGCGGGAAGGCCAAACCCGAGCGCGCAGGCCGCCGCCGTCGCATCGCGTTCGGTCATCTGGGGACCCCAGTGTGCCCGCACCAAAGGTCACTCCGGCGAAGGGTCACTCTTACCTGTGGCCGATCCTGCAGCAGCGCTTTGGGCGCGTCGGCCCCGGCGCCCCTCGCGAAATGCGGGTTGCGAGACTCGTGCCGCTTCCCGGGCCCTCCGCCGGTGCCGCTGACCGTGCCGGCACGCTCGACGTCGGAGACGTCCAGGATGTACGAGCCGTAGCCGCAACGGCTCTGGAGCACCTTCAGTGCGAGCTGCTCCACGACATCCGCCACCGCGCCCTCGGCATGCTGGGGCGTGTCAGGATGCGTGCTGGCTGTCTCGCAGGGCCTCTGGCGGTGTTCCAGGGCCGCCCCCCCTGGCAGCGAGGGTCCTCGAGTCCCCCACCCCTGAAGCAAGCTAAGATCGTAGGAGGAGAAACACTACGATGGCTTTGAAAGCCGAGAAGGCCTGCCCCCCCCCCGCACCAGCCTACTAAAATCCCCAAGGCTCCCAAATGCTCAAGGATTATCCAAGAGAAGCCCTGCCAGATCCCCAAAGGACCCAAGGAGGTCCCAAGGGGCGACTAAGGAGGCCTTCAGCGAAGCTGAAAGATGCCAGCCGCAGCAGCAACCTTAGGGTGTCCGGCAATGCTTGCTTCCGAGGCTTAGGCTTTCCGGCTTCAGATGGCCTCGAGGAGGCTTCAGGTAGGTGCGGTCGCCTCCCTTCGCGGCCTAAGACGGTCAAAAGAGAGCCTGATAATCCACAGAGACGGCCAAATCTTGGCCCCTAAAGATGTTCGTTTTGGTTCTAAAACTCGGTCGGGCGTGTCCTCGTACTGGCGGGTTGTGGAGGAAGAATGAGACATTGTCAAAGCATAAGCAGCACTTGCTAAAACATAGTAGAAACATCGTCACATTTTTTTATGTTATCTCAGTTTTTTGGTTTTGTGTGTGTCAACATATATATATATATATATATGTATGTTTGAATGTTCTTCCTGTAGAATGACATGCCCGACTTAGTTCTAATACTCGCCCGAACAGACCCGAACAAATCGAACCAAGCCCCTTCGGGAGATCTCGGGAGAATCATCGCGGAAAAGATGACCCTGGAACCTCCAAGAAGCTTCCATCAGGCCCTCAATATGCTTCAAGAGGCTTCACAGAAAGCATCAAAAACGCACCCGAGAAGCCTCCAACCAACCTCCCCCCTCTAAAACTCAGTTTAACAAGCGATCAAAACTACGGCTGTGTCGCGCTATAGCGCCGCGGAGCCGCTTCCTAGTTGACCCCAAGATGGTTCTCCGAGCCTGTTCAAAGCCATCGGTAGGACGGCCACGCATGCCCTTCGATGCTGCGCTGGCGTGGTGGCGGAATTTGCCGTAAGCAACTGGATATATCCCAGCCCGCAAATGGTTCCATGGGTGGATGTTCTCGGCATTCAACAAGCAAGCGCGGCCGACGATATAAGGCTGCCCGTGCCTGTCGGCGTGGAGGGAATACGCGAAATACATCTTAGGCCCAGGGTTGCTTGACTCCAGGATAGGGAGGGGGATAAAAGGGCAAGGGCATCGCACAACGCAATATGAAAAGGATGAGGTCGAAGAGTACGAGGACGAGAGGGATCAGGAGGATGAGGATGAGGATGAGGAGGAGGACGAGGTGGAGGTGGAGCAAAAGGCGAATGACGAACATGGAAAAGCGGAGGAAGGACCGCGCGCGACACTGGTGGTCAACTCCAGCCCCTCAACCAACGCTTTCGAGATGTCCCACTCGTCGAGTGGACGGAGAAGGAGGAGGAGGCGGAGGAGGAGGACGAGGAGGAGGAGGAGGACGAGGAAGGGGGAAGAGGACGAGGAGAGGGGGGCGGAAAGCTCGCCCCGCCGCGCCCCCCCGCGAAACGACGCTCAGCATCTCGGCGCAAGCGGCCACACGGGGCCAGTGGCGTCCATTGGCGGCCCATGGAACTGAAGACAAGCAAACACGCATGGCCATTCGCCCAATCTGGCGTTCCAACGAATCGGTGGCAACCGAAAAGCAGCCGAGAACTCGGGGCCAAGGGGGGGATTCTGCCGGCCAATGGACTCGGGCGACTACCCAGAAGCGAACGACCGAGTCATATGCAATTATGAGTAACGCGTTGTGGGCACTGCTTGTGGTGGAATTCCTATGGATCCACGAGGCGCGGGGCGTGCCGCAACGGGTGGGCGAATGTCATGGTCTGAGGCCTTCGATCGAGCTCTCTGTGGTGCCACGAAGCGCGTGAGGGGTCTGCCGAACTGGGCGGGGGGGGGCGCATGCGGAACCATAGGACCTTCGGTGAAGCTTCCCACGAAGCCACGAAGCTGTGTACTTGGTGGGAGGAGACGCATGCGGGCTGCGCCACTGGGACCTTTCGGCGGAGCTCCCTATGAGTCCACGAAGCACCGTATGGTGTAATGGGCAGGCGCATGCGGGTTGCGCCACTGGGACCTTCGGTAAAGCTCCTCATGAGGCCACGCAGCGCTGTACTCGATGGGGGGGCGCATGCGGGATGCGGCACTGAGGCTTCGGGTGGACGTCCCTATGTGGTCACGAATCGTTGTGTTTGGTGTGGGGACGCATGCGGGCTGCGCCACTGGGACACATTGTGGAGCTCCCCATGGAGCCACGCAGCGCTGTACTACTTGGGGGAGACGCGTGCTGGCTGCGTCACTGGGGCCTCTGGTTGAGCTCCCTATCGGGACGCGGAGCGCTGCACTGGGTGGGGAAAACGCATGCGGGCTGCGCCACTGGGACCGTCGGTGGAGCTCCCTGTGGGGCCGCGAAGCGCTGCACTGAGCGGGGGAGACGCACGCGAACTGCACCACTGGGACCTTCAAGTGGAGCTCTCTATGCCACGAAGCGTGTGTGGCGGGGGGGGGCGCGAAACGTGTGGCGGGGCGCATGCGAACGGCGCCACTGGGACCTTCGGTGCAGCCCCTATGGGGCCATGAAGTGTGTGAGGGTGTGCCTACATGGGTGGCGGGGGCGCATGCGGGCTGTGTCACAAGGAACTTCTGTGGGGAACTCCCCATAAGGCCACGGAGCGTGTGAGGGTGTGCCGACATGGGTAGCGGGGGGCTCATGTAGGCCGCGCCAATTGGACCTGGGTGTGCCTAAATTGGTGGCGGGGGCGCATGCGGGCTGCGCCACTGGGAGCTTCGGTGAAACTCCCCATGTGGCCACGAAGCGTGTGAGGGCGTACCGAAATCGGTGGCGGGGGACGTAGGCGCGCCAACTGGACCTTCGGTGGAACTCCCCATGGGGCCACGCAACGTGTGAGGGTGTGCCGACATGGGTGGTGGGGACGCATGCGAACGGCGCCACGAGGACTTTCGGTGTAGCTCCCTATGGGGCCACGCAACGTGTGAGGGTGTGCCAAAAGTGGGTGGCGGGGAGACGCATGCGGGCTGCGCTACTTGGACACTCGGCGGAGCCCTACGGGACCACAAAACGTGTGAAGATGTGCCGAAGTGGGTGGCGGGGACGCATGCGGCCTGCGCCACAAGGACGGTCGGTTGAGCTCCCTATGGGGCCACGGAACGTGTGAGGGTGTGCCGAAGTCGGTAGCGGGGGGGCGCATGCAGGCTGCGCCACAAGGACCTAGGTGGAACTCACCATAGGGCCATGAAGCGTGTGAGGGTGTGCCGACGAGGTGGGAATGACGCGGGGCGCTGTCTCTTCAAAACGAGGTCCTAACACCACATGAGTGAGCAATTGGCCGCTCGGGGTCAGTCGGGGCCAACGGCAACCACTGGCACCAACTGCAAATCGTTACGCACGGCCAACCAAGGCTACTCGGGGGTAAAGAGAAGCCAACGGGCTTGCCAGAACACCGGGGCCGGCGGTCACTCAAAGATCTAGTCGGGTCTTGCGGCGGCGAACGGAACCAGCACCAATCAATGCCAACGGCTATTCGGGGCTGATCGAGATGATTGGTGGCACACAGAATCGTAGGCAAACCATGGCATACGGCCACCCAAGACTAGCATGGGCGGCAAAGCGAGGCACGGTACCACTCGAGACTAATCGGGGCTAACAACGGCCAACGAGATCGGCGGTCATCCAAAGGAACCGGGCACTCGAGGCTGCTCCAGGCAAATGGCAACCAACGAATTTGAAGGCAAACCAAACAAAGCGGCCAAGTGTGGCAAGCGGAACCGACGGCAAACCGACCACTCATGGCCAGACTGGTCTGCAGACCGAGAACGAAGTTCAACCATTCAGGGCTAATCGGGGCTGGTAGCGACCAGCGGACTCGGCGGCAGACCAAGGCAAGCGCCAACTGGGAGCTAGTCAATGCCAGTGACGGCGAGCGGAGATAAATGCCCGAAAAGTCAAGCGGCTACCCGAGGCTAGTGGCAGCAGAATCGGCGGCACACCACACATTGCCACTAATAACGCTACATGCTCAACTACCAATGCATCTATTACTACAGCTGCATGTTTACCCGCGTAGGCCCCAGACAGTGGGTTCTCGCATTCTCGGTGCTCAAACTTTGTGGAACAATCAGTTTGGCGCAACCGATGTGATTGATGTGATGCACATCTATGGCGTGCAACGTTAAGTCAACTGTGGGGAACAATCTATGTGTTCTAACTTATGGGGTGCAGGTAATGTGAAGATCTTGAACTCCTTCCTCAATTCCGATGATCGAGCAAACATCCCGAACGCCCAACCACAACTTTGTTGGCAATGCTCAAGGGAGGCAGGATTGCAATTACCTGTCAGAACGTGTGAGCACATCCCACCAGGCGCGATGACGTGCGCACGCTACGCATGCAGACCCCTGACTTGGCCCGGCGAGTGGTGATGCCGAGGGACACACGCACCAATTTCCAGTTGGGACTATTTAGTTTGGTTTCGCATGTGTTTTGGAGCTCGGTCTTGAAACGATTCCAAAACACATGGCTCTTGAGTGATTCGGACATGCGCGCGCGGGGCAACCCAGGCTGATTCTATAATTTTTGCCATTGCGTGTGCGCGCGCTGGCGCGCTGAAACATCGACACATTTGAACACAGAGGCCGAACGGAACGTTTTCAGGCACGATGACGAACGGACCGATAATGTTGCTGTAGTGGGTGGGGGGAGGTCGGGGGATATGACATAATTTGCATGGAGTAATGCTTTCACATTGTTTCTGCTTGAATTGCTCTTGCTCCACTTGCGTCAATAATCAGTGGCTGTTGACTGAATGCGACATGCCCGCGCGTGGCCCGCGTGTTGTTGCCATCTGTCAGTGCTTCAGTCGGAAAGGCATGGCTTATTACTTCCTCTGCATGTGAGGGTACTTATATTTTTCTTTTGAAGAGAAAGAATATATGTTGCCGTGGTCGTATTGCCAACAACCAGGTGGCGACAAGTCGGCGAGCGGACGAAACACCGGATAGCCCAACCACCACAGGAGGCGGTGACGAAGCGGCGACGGGCCACGACCGGGCGAGGACCTGGAAAGAGCAATGAATTACTTAGGACATACAGTGGGGGCGCGCGTCAAGAAACCATTTACTTTTCGTCAGGGTACCCTGGGTTTCTTCGCTCCGCGCGCTGCGCGGTGACTTCCTGCGCCGTCAAAGAAGCTGCTGCGTTCAGGGTGCTTTAGGGTTCCCCTCAGGTGCACTTCGCGCGCGGGTTTTCAGGGTTGGGCTTCCTGCGAGGGTATCTTGCGACCGCGCCCGCACTGTAAGAAGCCCATGCTGCAAGCACTGTTTCGCGAACTTGCTGGAACTAAGCTGTCACGTACTTGCGTATAGAACCAAGACTACACCTACAACTATTACCGACAACGTCAAGTGCAACATACGTTACAATTGAAGCTAACACTGCACGTGCATGTGCCAGCAAGGGTAACGTGCACGTGTAAACACGAGAGAGAATTGAAGTACACGTCCACGTGCACGAACAAGTTCGAGTACAAGCACAAGTGCACGTGCAAATACGTATGCGCATGAGTATGCGTGCACGTGTCCGTTCGATCGCAATTTCAAACACGTCTACCACCACAGCTACGGCAACGATTGAACACATATCAACTGCATCTGCAAATGCAGCTGCAAAGACACCAACTACATCGACTACTCGCTGCTGTAATCATTATTTTGCTGCCACTGTTGCCGTTGCTGTTGCTGTGATTCTTGCTATTCTTTCACACTCAGGCTGTCCGCGGGCTCCTTTTGGAGGCGGAAGGCTGTAACGTGCAATGCTGTACTGCTGACTTGGGCTCTTCGTTGTATGTCTTCTCCCTGCCTCTTGATTCCCCAGTCCCGTCTCCATCTCCTGCGGCAAAAACCAGAAGCACGAGCGGAAGTGACCCTCAGCCTCCTGGCCGCTCTGGGTTGCCCCGGGATCCCCGATTGGACGCCACCACACAACCGAGAGAGCCCACTCGCCCTGATAGCCCCTCGCGGCCCCGGGAGCGCCCCCCGAGAGGCCCCGGATGCTCCAGCGTGTCCAAGCGGTGGAGCGAGAGATCCCCCGAGATGCCCCTACGAGGCCCCACGGTGGCCCTCCACGTGTCCCAACGCAGCCGCTGGGCCCCGAGACGGTTCCGCCTGGGGGGCCCAGCGGCCGAGGGCGCGGCTCTCCAGACCTCGGCTGCGAATGCGAGTGCTGTCTTGACCGCCACCGCTGCAGCTGCACCGACTCCTGCTACCACGATTGCTGTTGCGAGTAGTACGGCTGCCACGACAGCCGGTGCTGCTGCTGGGAGTGGTAGTTGAGCCAGTACCTGCAACACTGCTGCTGCTCGCAGTCAGTGGCACTTGGAATTACTAGTGCTGGTACTGTTTCTTGCCTCTGCTCCTGAACGGCTTCCTCGTAACCATTCTCGTTTTCTATGATCTCCCAGGTCCTGTCGGCATGGAGGGAATCCGCGAAATACATCTCCGCTCCAGGGTTGCTCGACTCTGTAAACAAGCGCTGCGCCTCACCTGGTCTGTGGTACTCCAAGATGTTCCACCTTTGGGGTCTATTGTCTTGAAACTGAGAGAGGATGAGGCCGAGTTGATGCCAGAGAGAACGATGGTGTGCCCAGGAGCGAAAGGAGATGGTACTTCAATTGATCATACACTTTATAGGATGCCTCAAAGGTCCTCCAAACCAACTTCCCATTTTCTATATATATATATACTCCCTGCGAACTCCTCGGTTGGAGCAAAGACAGCCAAGCACGAGCACACCCGAGCAATACCCCAATCCACACGGGTGGGAACACGCCATCTGGAGCAACCGGCACGCCTGACTCCAACGCTTCTTTTTGCAATCCCGTGCTGGGGGTGGGGGCATGACCGGCCTGGAATCGGCGACACGCCACAGAGAAATCGGCGATGCGCTGTCGTTAGAGCCCTCGCTCCTGGGCGGGGTGGCGCCCCATTCCCGATCGGCGGCGAGCGTGGGGCCGACGGCCCCCCTCTCGAGGGCACGAGCTGGTCGGGTCGGGTCCCCCTAGCGGCGGGTCGGGTCGGCCCCCCTGGCGGGCGGGTCGGGTCGGGTCGGGTCGGGTCGACGGTCCCCCTCTTGAGCCCATCCTCCCAGAGGCCACTGGATGCCTCTGGACCCCCTCTCTCGAAGCCCCCGACGGCCTGGGCGGGCCCCCAGGGGACCCGAGGGGCCCAGGAACGTGCGAAAACCTCGACCTCGATCCTCCTCCTCCTCCTCCTCCTCCTCCTCCTCCTCCTCCTCCTCCTTCTCCTCCTCCTCCTCCTCGCTCTCCTCCTCCTCCTCCTCCTCCTCCTCCTCCTCCTCGCTCTCCTCCTCGCCCTCCTCTTCCTCCTCCCTCCTCCTCCTGTCTCCTCCTCCTCCTCCTCCTCTCCTCCTCCTCCTCCTCCTCCTCCTCCTCGCTCTCCTCCTCCTCCTCGCTCTCCTCCTCGCTCTTCTCCTCCTCCTCCTCCTCCTCCTCCTCCTTCCTCCTCCTCCTTCTCTTCCTCCTCCTCCTCCTCGCTCTCCTCCGCCTCCTCCTCCTCCTCCTCCTCCTCCTCGCTCTCCTCCTCCTCCCTCCTCCTCCTGTCTCCTCCTCCTCCTCCTCCTCCTTGCTCTCCTCCGCCTCCTCCTCCTCCTCCTCCTTGTCCTCTTCCTCGACCTCCTCCCCAGACCTCCGGTGTCCGCCGTCTCTTCCGTGCGCGGGCCACGGAACTGCCGACCCCCTTCCCCGGGGGCCAGCTTTCCATCCGGAGTCTCGTGCTGACGGTCACGGGGTACGGAGAAAGGCCCAGAGACCGAACCCCGCGAAAATCGTCCGCGTCTTTCATCGGCTAACACTTTTTGGTCTGCGGGTCGAGAGCAGGCCTATTCCGGTTAAGAGCTAGGCGGGGCGCGCAAAGCACTAACTGGGGAGACAGGGCGCGGGCGGGCGGGGCCTCAGGCGGCTGGAGGGGGCGTGGTGCAGGCGGTGCTGAAGAACTTGCACAGGAAAAGGTACGCCTTGGACAGGAGCAAATTTTCATCGGCTAACACGCACTCATGACCCCTGGGGAACCATGGCCTTCCGTGCGCGGCGTCTGGGGGAAGCGTGGAGGCCTTGAACAAAACAACCTTTGAGGAAAACGGCTTGGGGGCCGAACCCCGTGGGCGCAGGCCCGCAGAAATGGCGGCTGCATCATTCTGTCGAGAAGCCAGAAAGTGGCCCTTCGGGCGAATTCGCTAATCGACTTGGCAGGGTGGCGGCTCTATGAACCCCGGAGACCAGCTGCTCCATCTCCTCTCCCACCCTTTTCGATCATCCCTCGCAACCTCTGTCGCCAATCGATGGTGGCGCGCAAGCGGGCCTCTGCTTTGGCAGCGTCGTTATCCTCTGCGATCAGGTAGCGGCAGACGAGACCTTCTAGAATCGAGAGGAGGACAATGAGGAAGAGGACTCGTGTGCACAACGAGCAAGATCAATCAACATCGAATCGGAAAATCGGACCGCATCGGAATGTGCGACGGATCGGGCTACATCAGCATGGAGTCGGAATTGGATCGGATCGGTCGCGCCAATATGCACAACAACGCCATGCGAACAGGTCGCATGGAGTCGGGTCGGCCTGGCTGACAGCGATGTCGAATCGAATCGGATCGATCGGACCGAAATGGACCCTGGAAGGGAGAGGACGAGGAGGAAGAGGACGAGGAGGATTCTTGAAAATAGTGAGTATGACGGGGGTGCGCGTGGATGTGGCGGAAGCATGCGAGGAGTAGGACGAAGAGGAGGAGGAAGGGACATGCCACCTCAACGGGTGACTTCCCGATGATTTGCGCACAGAGCCAAGGGATGGAAACGGAGAAACGATACAGAGAAATGGGGCAGCGTGGAAGAGGAGGAAGAAGAGATGCGAAGATACGGGATGTTTGGGGCAACGATCTCCCTGAAAACAAATATGCCGGCTCAGAACAGAGGACCTGCTCACGGAAGGCAGAGCTTTCACCCACGGCGACTGTTTGCAATTTGCTTGTGTATGATGCTTGAGTGTGCTTGTCTTCGACGAGACAGATGCGTCGAAGCGAAAGCGGCCAGCGGTGCCTTCGGGATCCAGCGTGAGCATGGGGTCCTTCTCGACATGATGGCCACGTTTCTGGGCGTCCTCCAAGATGACATGGTACCTGTCCGTCAGACATCGGAATGCTACTGGATCCACCCGAGGGTCCTGTGAATCGATCGGCCTGCCAACGAAATTCACTTCGCGCCCCGACGCCATGGCAGTCGCCTGGGCATGCCAGCTTACGCAAAATGGCTGCGGCGAGCATGCAGCGAGCCATGGTGCAGTGAGTCAGCCCGATGATATGTTGCAAGCGTGGCTTGGGCTCACGACGCCCTCAAGCGACCAGAACTCACGGAGGCCTCACTAATCCACACGCAGCCCCTCGAATCACCGCGCGTAGCAGCCCTCGGAACCAATCGTGGGATCCGTACACTCATGCGCTCAACAAATTCGAACTTCGATCCTCTATGGCTCTCCTCGGTTCTCCCCTCCCGGGCCGCAGACCCCGAGGCTCCATCACACCACTGGACCCTTGCCACGTGGCTTGAGCTTCCATACGAGGTCCCCGCACTTTTTTTTGTTCAAGCCAACATCCTGGACCCACAAAGTCTGACCAACAGCACACACACACACACCTCACGCGAGAGGTCCGACGAGACGCTTCCAACTATTTCAGATCGTACGCTGCAGGTAACTAAGTCGGGCAACCATCGAACAACGCGCCACCCACATGGAATACGATGTTATCCGCAACTGAATTGTCGCACCGATCGTAGTGTTTCCTGATTGATGTTGAACAATCTTGATGCTACGCTGTCAGGCTGGATTGAGCACAAGCGCGCGCAGAACATCTCGAATCGTTGTGCCGTCTTCTGTCCAATGCCCTACTGTACCAATGTCCGATCGTACTTCCATCTAAACGGCGGTGCCTATCGTCTTGGAAATTGTATGCTCAGCCAACAGCCGCTTTCAGTGCAATTGGTTCCCAGTCTCTCTCTCACTCTCTCTCCCCCTCTCTCATTCTCATTGTAATTACTATTGTCGTTCGCATTCTGATTCTGACTCTCTCTCTCTCTCCGTCTCTCTCTTTCTTTCCTCTTGTCTCATCTTTCTCTATATTCACATCTTTCTCCGTACAGCACAAAATCATCAACGCTTGAAAGAGAGATGCACAAGCATTAAGCGGCCTCTACTCTCGTGATGTTGCTCAATCCTTTCAAGCTTCTACCCCTCAGTGGCCAGCTCGAGTAGCGCGGACGTAACATACTTCCACCTTGCCCAATGCTCTCATGCTACGACTTCCTGGCCAGCAACTTTGTGGGCTTTGTGGGGGAATGTCCAGTGTGCAGGGGACAAGGCCAGATGGCCTGGGCATTGGATGCGCGCCTGACAAGAGACGCGTGGAGAGGGAGGACGCCGCAAGCGG